ATCCTGAGGGTGTTGTTTCCATCCTTCATGACTAGTACACAGTGCCTACGGTTATTCAGTGTGAAAATAGAAGGTCCAGTTCCCCATTTCAACTTGGGGGACATACTCCCAGGGGCCTGCTGGGCTGCAAGAACTCCTCCAACACTTTGCCCTCTCACAGCCATGCCACCCTTTCTCCTGGATATTCTGTGGCCGGATAATGGACGTGTTTCCTACTATCCATCGCCTCGGATTCTTGAGCATACCCAAGTCAATGCCCTCCTCACCCAGGTCACGTCTATAGGTGGCATAGTTGTTGGCCTGTTCCTCAGAGGAGAAGCTCTGATAGCGGGTGGGGGTGGCCACCCGGGCCCGAGACGGGAGGGAGCGTGGAGGAAGCGGCCGGGCGAAGGTCACGGCCTCGTCGCGCCGCACCCCCGCGCCCCGAGGCCCGCCGCGCCCGCCGGGGGCTTCCCCAGGTGCGCCGGGCGGGCTGCGCGGCGAGCCGGGGGCATTTCACGCGGGGACGGGCGGCGCTCGGGACAGGGGTCCCGTTTCCAATGCTCTGTGGTTTTTGCATTTCAGGTCGCGAAATGGAAGCGAGTGAACCGGAGACCCCGAAAACGGAAGCGAAGAGGGACCGAAGAAGCGTTTGAAAAGGTAGGGGTCCCCTAAAGAGGGCACTGAGTGGGGCTCTCGATAAATCTCCCTGTCTGCCCTGAGGACTTGGCACAACAATAGAACATTTTTTTTTAAGTTAAATTTACAGTAGACTGGATTTACAGGGATAGTTCTGTAAAAATATTGGCTGGCCATCCTAATGATGATCAACATACTATGTTCTCGTGCAGTGAGGGCTCCCGGGATGGAGTTTTGATTCAGCATCAGTAAGTAGAGCGAGTGGGACATAAGTGGGTTCTGGTGCCCTATGGACTAGGAGCACTTTTTATGGCAGTGTTCGGGTACCCCTAAAAAAGGGGGGATCTTCCGAGTAAATCACCCACAGTGTCGGGTTTCTCTCTTTGGTTGTGACAGATACAGTAGCACGCTCCCTCGTGTAGGTGTTGGAGTAATCTCAGATATGGAAAGAGAAGCTGAAAAAAGTGGATTACTTTTGTAACGCAAACAAGACATTTTTCTGAATTTAGAATTTTAATGTTACTTTGCAGAAGTTCGACTCCCTTTTTTCTCCTAAAATTGTATTAAGTTAAAGGGTGACATGTTATTGTAATAAATATTGTGAAATAAGGTAAGTAGTCTGTTGTTCTCTAAGTGACTTTTATTGAAAACTCTCAAAAAAAAGAATAATGTTACAGCAGACAGGACTTCTGTTGCTTTTTAAAATTATTCCATGTACTGCTTTTTGATTCTTGATAACACCAAGGGATTAAAATAGCGGTGTGTTGTTTTTTTGCTGCTAGAATGTATGATGAATCACTCCTGATTCTGAAGCCAAATTCTTGCTGATAGCATTGCTGCCAACTTCTGTGATGTGTTGCCTTAGTATGGGCATCGCAGCGTCCGAGAATGTGCACAAAGCACATCAGAATGAAGGTGATACCGACGTTCCAGAGTGCGGTTAAGGATACCAAGGGCGGCTTCTCAGAGGATTGGAAAAGGAGTAGAGTCATCTGTAGCTAGACATTCAGTATGTGAAAAGGGATGCCCCAGCTTTCCCCTTTCTACTTAAAAAAGGGTCACACATGTCACTTCATTTCAACAGTAATAGCAAAAGTTGTCATTTTGAACAGACTTGAGTTTTCCGATCCTATCTCAGCATGTTGTGGTAGGTTGTGTTTGTTTAACTTTCATGGCCTAGATGTTTTTTAAAAATCTAAGTGTATGAAGGAGATCATAAAATGTCCACAGGAGAAAAAAGAATTATGGCTGGCTTAGTAGTGTGAAAAAATATTTTCTAGTTATTATTTTTTACACCAAAGATAAGATTGCCCAAATGCATAAGGTGTCACGCATAAAGAAGGGGAAGCCATTATCTTTGTAGGTTACTAAGGGTACGGTCACTACCAAAATCTGAACTTGAGGTAACCATGTCTGTGACACCCATGATCTGAGAATGAGCGGGGAGACTGAGGAATTTTCCTCCCAAGAACATAGTTCTTCCCTGGGCCTTCTCCTTGAGAGAAGATATTGTGCACACATTTGCCTTTTCTTCTTAGAAAACGTGGGTAGCACTCTTACAGAGGATATGAAAATGAAGTAGATTGGGGGCAACATGCCGAACTGCCTTTCAAGGAATAAAGCTTAAAGCTCACTAGCGTTGAAGGTAGAGGTGGAAAAAAGAGGGGATCTTTCAAAGTTGTGTCAGAAAATAATTGTTTAGGTGTTTCCAGTCTCTCCTCCTGACTCTGTACAGCAGCTGAGCCCCCGGCCCACGGTTTGCCTCTGCCATGCCCAGGAGAAGGTTTGCAACTTGCTGAGGCAAAGCATGCAGTATTTTCAAGGGCAAGGTGAAAGGCAGTGCAATCAGCAACCAAGGGCCTTAGACCAAGTTCCAAAAGGCACCGAGGCTGTCCTGCCGAGGTGTCCCCCGATGGCCCCAGTGTCCGTTCCAAAATACAGATGGAATTCTGTGTGCAATGAGTGTTCAAACCCAGGTCATGTGGCACTCTTGTGCTAGGATTTGAACCTGTTATTAGTGGGAATCTAGGTAAAATTACTGTTGAGTTCAGTAAGTTTTTTCAAATGTCTGCCATGTCACAGTGAAGGAGATTAGTCAGTTTCTCCTTCTTCATGCATCCACTGTATTTTGCTGCTACATGAAAACTGTGATCTTTTCAGTGGTAGTCACTGTATGTTACTGTCAGAGAAGAGCCTGGGTTTGAGTCACTTTGGGTAGGTGTGCATTTAGGTCTAGCTGTTTTCTTTATTTGCCTGCTTTGTTTCCGTGCCCTGTGTCTACCCGGTGCCCTTTCCTCCATCCCCTAGTCTCTGCATCTTCAGGTCTCACACAGGATTCAGCTCAGCTGAGTGAACTCGGTTAACCAGTCTGTGTTCAGCTCTGCTGGGGTCACAGCATTTTCCCTCCGACATTTACTGCTTTGTGGGAAGCAGTCCTCTGACCTGCGTGAGGAAGGAGAACAGCAGTGGTGCAAGGCCGGGGTCTGGAACTGGCACGGGGCGGCCAATTATGTGTGAGGAATGTAATCTTACAGGAGATACTGGTATTCCCCCTTAGAGAAAGGGAAGGCACAGCCTGATGGAACTTGAAATACTGTACTAGTTGAGTTTCTCAGTGAACTCAGAAGGGGAAGCAAAATAAACTTACCCTGTGCTCAGCTGTGGGTTAAAATAACGCATAATGAAATAAAGTAAACGGGGTGAATGAGAGGTGTCACCCAGGGAAGTGATTTGCAGTGCTCTCTGGACTTTCCTGGTCTGTTCCCCTGTGTGTGCCATTGCCACCCTCCCCCACGCCCCGTAGCTCTCCGGTCCCTGCGCTGTCCCACAGATGTTCATATCTTTCTGAAGATACATCAGTCCTTTACCCATCTCCTATCTTCTTTGACATTTATTTCCATTTGATTTCATCATATGTTAGTGCTTTCCATGGGTATAACTGAATTCCTTTATACTGTTTTTTGTTTTTCTTCATTTTAAATGACAGAAGTCATCTGTTTTGCTTCCGTCCTTGGGTGCTTTCTCCTTCCATTCTGATATTCTTCTTTTTCCATTACTTTGAGTTCCTTTTATTTAGTTTGAACAGTTTGTGTAACAGGAAGGCAAGGGGAACATGAGCAACTGCATAAGGAACAATTGGGATGAATGAGTGGGCCAGCCTGTTGTGCGAGGGCCGGTGAGACGGTGGGGACTGCAGCAGGGCGTCCAGAGTGTGTGCTTTTAAACAGTGTTGATAGGTTTTACTAAATGGCTATCGGTTTTGGAAGAAGAACCCACATGTTTTTTTTTTCTGATGTATCTTTAACTGAGTCAAAGATAATACAAATGACCCATCAAAGATTAAGGAATAATTTCATGTCCTTTTAAGAAATATATACATGTAAAATAACAGAGTTTTGAATAATTCTTTGGTAAAGAATGCTAGGTGCAAGTGGGTTCCAGGGAGAGCACCCTTTAAGGTCACCTTAATTATTCTTTTCTGCCCGAATCTCTTGAGCAGAAAATTGCTTAAAATTTGGTGAAATTTTCCTTGGTATATCAAGTGAAACATAAACATCTAGAAAGAGGATTGTGCAAAAGTGGACTTTATAGTATTTAGTGGCCATTTCAGTTGGAGCCCAGTGATAAATTCTATTTTCTGAGTCCTTGAGGGGAAAAAAAAAGCCAGACTAGTTTCTTTGTGGTAATATCCTTCCTAAATTCTGGAGCTTTGTCACTCAACTTTTATTTCATTTGTTCTTTTCACACACTTGATTCTGAACTGCAATCAGTGATCATCTTAGTCTGAGTAATAATAACTCATAGAGGATTTTAAAAATTACATTTAAAACCCAACTTGGTTTATGCTATTTTACCACATTTATTGCTTCTAAAAACTTTTTATACATTCTAAGAGAATGCTTTTATTACAATTCTAATATTCAAATACTTAATATGATAAAGGTAGGTGCAAATTTTTTAACTGAGTGCTTTACTACTGTTTGTCTTTTGTGGCAAAGGTGTGTCCTATGTTTGGTTGATGATTTCTGGAAAACAATATTTGAGACTAATACAAGTCATCGGGCTTTTTCTTGAATCCGTAATAGCAGACGGCGACCGTGTTAGGCTTGACTCCGAGTCGACAGGCTGCAAAGCTTGGCACAGTGGCACAGATGACTTTAGGGAGGGCTGAACCAAGGGTCCCTTCACCTCAGAGGAACTACCGTGGTTAGCAGAATGGCGGGCCTGGACAGCCTCTCTTCCAGTCAGGCAGCCTTTCCCGGGCGTTGGTGCCCTTGCCTCTTTTCAGCAGTGCTCTTGCCTGTGAGAAGTCATAACCAGCGCACATTTATATAGCTGCGATATCTCACAATAGCTTCATTGATACTTGATCTCCATAGAAGCGCTTTATGGATGCTGCTGAGTCACAGCCGCCCTCCCCGGAGCCCTCCCTGTCTGAGAGTGGCTTTGTGTCCTGCGTTGTACTGATTGTGCCTTCGGATGACAACTTACTTGAGTGATGGGGGAGCCAGAGTAATTTATTCAAAGTAATTGCAAAGAAACCAAACAAAAGGAGTAATTATAGTGTTGTTAATATGCAATTTGTTATTTTATTGAAATATTTGGAACTGGGTCCTATGAGTGATTCTCCCTTTTTTTCCTTGTAAATCCCTAACAGATACATAATTTATTAAACTCCGTACCGAGGTCTCAAGTTGGATCTGGTTTCACAAGATCTTGGCTTTTTTTTTCTCCACCCTTTTTTTTTAAAAAGCAGGACCAAGGGAGAATTGCTGATAAAATGTGTTTTTGGTAGCCTCAGGAAGGAAGTCTGATCTGTATTATTTTATACCATTAAATTTTCATCTGTTCTTTTGATTTACTTTTTTTTATTAAGAATCTGCAGTTAAAAAAATATTCTGAGAAATGTGAATGTACTAAAAGTCCTTCCCATTTTCAACTTGCATAACGGGGAAAATGAAAGAATAGTCATCCACTTACCCTTGCACACACTTATTTACATATTTTAAAGAGAACTATTC